TGATTAATTTAAGTTCCGATAACTAAAATATCCAACATCGAGATTAGAAGTTGCGACAATAAGTAACGGTATCTACTATCTACCGACGTGATCATTGGATAAAAATCGTCTCTGAATTTCTCGGGAACAACGTTACGTGTCCACTTAACGACGATTCATGACCCATCTTGAAGTCCGAGAGCGCGTAGAGGCTCACGTGCTCACGTGTAAGTCGGCCGGTCGCGCGTGCAGCGCTGGCTTCATAAAAAAAAAATGGAAAGCCTTGATAAAATCGGGAATAGAGCCATAAAAAATTTCTCGACGACGGCCAACGACGGACGGAGAGTGGCCGGCGGCGGCCGCATATTTCGCGCTCCATCGATCGGCCGAGAGGGCCCCGAGCGGGCGACAAAAGCCGGCGGAACGGCCGGCGACAGCGGCGCGGCGCGGAGTATTTAAAACCGTTTAGCCGGCCAGTTAATTGCGCCAATAATTTCGCTGATGGAATAATAATGCCGACCGTCGAGTCGCGGCGTGCGGCCCGATAAATCCGACGAGACGAGAGAGATTCAGGAGGTCCGCGCGCCGCTCGAGTCATCCCGACTAGCGCGCGCGAGACTACGCACATCCCGCGCAATGATATATTGAGCGACGCGTGGCTGTAATGTCGACATTTTGCCTTAATGTATCGCGGAGAATACGACGGTGAGAGAAAGATAAAGGGAGAGGGGTTTCTCTAAAATATCCTCACAAATATACGAAGGTGAAACATTCTCCACCTCGATGACGTCCTGGCGGATATTAAGAAAAGAATTATGCCGTGGGGTGCTGTTGCCCTGATGTTATATTTTTCGGCGTCTGATGCAAATTTCGCGAGGCATAATTTTTATTAATTTAATTATATGAATTTTCAAGCGAGATACATAATTCATTATATATTTACTTAAACTTATCTTATTCACTTAAGAGAGTGAATGAGATAAGTTTAAGTAAATATATAAGTTAAAACAAGACCATAATATATAATTTATTCGTATGACATAGTTTCCGTCTATGCATAAGCTAATGATGTAAACCTTCTAAAATTTGTAAAAATCCAGAAGCAGAGAACATGAACGGGTCGGTATAATGTTGTGTCTCCGAAATATTAATGAGTCATCGCGTTAAATTATATTATAATCGGCACGTTAACCCACATTGCGCGCGATTAAGTAATTGACCGTGATAAGAAATTAGCATGAAACGGGCATTAAGTCGATCCGACAGCGCCGTTCGATGTATAATCTTCAATTTATGATAATTGTTATTACACTCGCCGCAATTTTAATTCGCGCAAATCGTTCGCAATAACATAATACAAATTAGGGAATAATACACGACAGTGCATGCGGAGGTAACATTATTACCAAAAAAAATAAAAAAATAAATAAAAAGTACTTCCCTGTATTGCGAGGCTAAAAATCGTCTGTTATCCCCGTGCTTAATTAAATTCGCGGTATAATAATCGCTATTAAACGAATTTACCTAAATGCGAAATAAATGAGCGGTCATTTTTATTCTCCGCGCGTTTCTGCCTTATTTTTATGAAATAAAATCGTCCGTCCCTTTAATCCGGCTCTAATTAGGATCTTTTACGACGTGGAGTTACGTACGTTTTTTTTTTATGTCCTTTTTTGCGCATTACGTGCGCGTATCTCGGCTCGAATGAATCCGCAGCGCTAGGTATCAAAAATAAAAATTCAACTCTGTTCTCTTTCTCCCTCTCTCGCTCTGTCTCTTTCGCTGTTCTCTCATCCTCTCTCGCTCTTTCTCTCTTTCTCTTTCTTTTTCAAGCTCTTTTGATCGTGATCCACAGTAGGAAATACATTTCACATTGCGAATCAGTACACACACACACACACGCGCGCGCGCGCGCGCGTAACAAAAATTTCACGAAAGCATATTTACTCTTGCTACATGTAATAGAATAGAAACATGACAATGTTAATATAAAATACGATTTTACGAATAAAAACGTAGGGAACAAAAAAAAGAGCTGCGAGAGAGCGAGAGATATCGGCAATATGCCAAACGTGAGCGTTCTAATAAAAAAAATTCTCTCGATTAGATTACGTTGTAAAAAGAATTACTCGATTTATCGATTTTCGCGCAATCCAGCTTATTTTATTATTAAGCGTCAAATCCTATTGTTCTTTTCGCTGTACGCAAAATCTATCTTTCCCTTTCATCACTTTTTATCATATGAATTTCCTGTAGCACGTAAAAGTAAATCTCGTTTGTCTTCGTCATTCCGTAACCGCGCGTTCGACATATATTGTTCCCTTTTCCTCCTGTCTTTCACTCTCTCTCTCTCTCTCTTCCTCTCTCTTTCTCTCGCCGAGAGTCGTTATCATACTCTTTATATCTTTTTTTTTCTATTTTTTGGAATACGTGCTGGCCTTTCCGCAATCTCGGTGGAACTTCACCGAGACTTGACCCACTAAGGCGTATTAAGTTTATCGTCGACTAAGCGCGCTAAGCGCGAAAACAGAGAAAAGGAAAAGAGCGAATCGAGTGTGTGATGGAAATAGTGGGCGAAATCGCGTGAATTAACGCTGGCCATAATACGAAATTCAACCGAATTTTCATTCTCCGATATACAGCACGAAAGGGACGGGCGACCATTTAAATGATCAAACCAATCGGTGAAATGACCCTTGGACGTTTAATTAATCGCGTTAATGTTAATTAGTACCGATTTGTAATTAGTTAAATTTTATTTCTGTATGTCATGTATGTACATATATATATATATATATATATATATATATATATCATTAGATGCAGTGGACGCGATGCAAAAATCAATTTTTACACGCCTGAAACAATTCGATATCGCATGATCCTTATTACGAAAAGTTTTCTTCAGACGCTTTTAAAAGTTTCACTGTTGTACTTGAGCGTACATTGCATTATAGGACAACACAAATAAGTTTCGATGAAACGTATACATACACGCGAATAAAAGGAAGGAAATTTTTGATGGCCAGAAATTCTCTGTCGAGGAGTCTTGCATGGAAATGCTTCTCTTGCTTTTAAGAAAATAATGAGTAAATATATAGACTTTATATTGTCGGGCGCTGTGAAAATTTCTCTTCGAATAAAGTTCCCCGTTATTTTCAATGCGTTGCAGTAGGAGCGTCACGCATTTTACGATGATAAAATAATTACCTATTCGAAATTTTAGAATAATAATATTGTTAAAAAATAGAATTTTTGAAGCGAAGCAATAATATAATAAGTAAAATAAAATAACAATAAAATTTATTGAGACTCACTCGAAATGAGATAAGATAAATCGCTTGTATCACTTAAGAAAAACATTTTCTGATTAAATCACACACACACACACACACACACACACACACACACACACACAAGATAATTCTAAAATTCTAACAGGAATGTTATCGCGGTTCATGATTTTTATACATCTCGCTTATTACTTTGTAAGGATTTGCGCAATATATGTCGTCTGGTTGCGCAAAAATAACGTTACATTTGGCAATTACATAAATTGCAAATCATTTCTTTAGAAAGCTAAGAACGTTGAGAAACTCCGGTCTATTGCAAAAAAGACGTTGACATTATATTAGCCTGCGAACGTATGTATTCTTCCTATTATATTGAATTAAAAAATGACATTTCGTTACGTTTCGAGAAAAAGTCCTATAATTTAAACTTGTATCAGACTGCAGACAGCTGATTCTTCAAACAATAGCATTATTTCTTTTTTTTTAAGCTTTTGTGGTGTCAACTTAATAAAGTTTTTTAAAATTATACATGTATGTAGATTCAAATAATTTCTTAATTGCATCCCCTTGTTCTTAATTATATCTTATATTATTCTCATTAGTCTTTCTATTAAATTAATGACATTTCAGAAGTGTCGTTATTCTTTTAAACCGATTGCGCTAGATGAATAGTGTCATAAGTGAATTGACAAGTGAATCACAACAGAGCTCTTCAAGAAACAGTATAAGTTTCATTATAACAAAATATCTCGTAATTGTAATCACATTAGTTATCTCACAATTAAAAAAAAATGAATTAAATTTGTTTTTCCTCTCTTAAAAATTGTAAATTTTTTATTTTTCTTGGGGTGTGATGTGTAGTGTAGACTTTCTTAATTGAATCCTAATTCTTAATTATATCTCTCTTACATCTGAAATATAATTATATCTACATTAATATATTTTGTCTTCAACCGTTGTCTGTCTTCAACCGTTCACTATTTTTTACAAAAGCACATTGTGTGCGTGTGTGTGTGTGTGTGTGCATTTTTCGTAGTGTGTGAGCACGTGGTACGTGGGTTCGCTAAATTCAAATGACTTTCCCTGTTCCCTGTTAAGTCTTTCGATTTCTTGCCGCCAAGTCACAGTATACACTGTGGCCAAGTGTCATTCCAGCCACAGCTGTAGCGCGTCACGTGCTCGTTGTTGACGTTGCACGTTGCATCTCATATATCGTTCCTTATCACATTTCTAACTGCGAAACGAGATAGTGTCCGTGTCCGTCGCGTTCGTGTTCGTTGGCCTCGTCCTCTAGCACTCGTGCAACGGAGAATTGAGAAACGGCCGTCGTCGACGACGACGACGACGAATGGCACTCCTCGTCGACGTCGTCGTTGTTGCTCCGCGCTTCGACAGCCGCGGAAATTCGAGGTATCCGCGAGGATACGAAACCGCGTGACGATCTCCCGATCATCGAGACCGTCGACGAGCTGGCGACTAGCGAGATGCGACAGCGCGCGATGTGTCATCGTGTCGCACGTGTTATCGCGATAACTCCGCGCGTTTTGAGGTTAAACCCGTCGTCGTCGTTCGCCCCATTGCGTCTCGGAGCCCTAATTCTCCGGACACGCCGCGTGACGCCGCGAAAGAGCGTTAATATGGCGTTCTTTAAACGATGACTGCACTAATTGCGGCTTCATTAAAGGAGCGATAACGTCAGTCTAAATTTAGCACAACGTCTTGTTTCAGTCATCATCGTCCAACATGGCTTTAATGCGTTACTCATGGGTCCTGTTGCTACCAGGTGAGACGCGAAAGAAGTCTAGATAAGTATGCCACAAAGTGTCTCCGGTCTCGTTCTTGTACGTAGATTACATGTCGTCTTTCATATTTGCAGTTTTAACGTGCGTTCAGGGAGCCCTTAGAGCGTCGACGCAGGATTTAAAAGTACACGTCAATCACCTGACCAGGTTCAACTTGTCACTGACGTGAGTAGCTTGTTATGCGCCGCATAACTCGAGCCATTATATGGAGCTGCTTGGATATCGTCGAGTACTTATAGATTTTATTGGCTATTATGTCGGAGTCACAGTACTCTATTGCTTTTAGGAGGGGGAGGGGGGGAGTGTATGTGCTACTGTACAGTTACTACTCACGACGAATCAAGTTCATTGACAGGAACCTTTGTTGCATAGACGAATAACGAAAAATGCCATGAAACCAATACGTTTACGTTTTTATCGCTTTGATCCACATTCCACATGTATCGCTTAATCCCAGTGACATAATTCGCTTCAACTCCTTTTATCACACGCTCTAAAAGTACCGATAACACAGCTGGCATCTAATGATCTTGAGATGTAACCTCTGGACTTTATACTTTATGATTCAATTACATTCGCTTGATGGATGATCTCAGTGTGCTTGGATTAAAAATGAGATTACTTGTTATCAGACACGTCTCTTATTTTGCAGGGAATCGTTACCTGACGACAGAGATGCACTAGTTACGATAGCTGTGCAGCATCCCGATCTGCTATCTGTAAACCCATCAAACTTTTCCATCGCAGCGGCAGACTCACCGAGAGAATGGATTATTTATGTTAAAGCCCTGAGTGCAGGTCACTCGATCGTTAGCGCTAATGTGACTCCTGGTGATATCACGGAGTGAGTACATGTAACGGAATGTTTTATAGAGATTTCACGAGCTTCTGACATTTTGATTTTTGTAAACTCTAATCAGTTGATGTTTTCATAACGATAGATTACGAACGTATGTATATTATTTGGCATAAGTATCATTCGTAATCAAATATGTTGCACAACAATAAATAGCAGGGAGCAGAGACCTATGGCACCGATGCCTTCCCTCGCTCTTCTCTATCTTCGTGACTAATTCTGAAAAGATTCCGATCGGTATTATATTCACATTCCATTGCACCAAGACTGATAGCTAAGACTGCACAGATAGCCTCTTGACCTAGACTCGTCAGCCGAGCTGAAACTTGAAGTTTCGTTAGTCTGTGCCCAGATTTGGAGCAGGAATTACTTCCTAGTTCAATCACGGTGTCGTGTTCAAACCTGTTTATAAATGATTTTAATATTTTTGTGATATTGAGAAGTGAAATTTGTTAAATATGTATCTGTGACGAAATGTATGCACACTTCGGAGTTTATACGGTTGCGTTATAAACTTAATGTGCTCCTTAATATTGGATCTCAAAAAACACCGTGTAAAACAAATTTATCTCGAAATTTACAACAATTATAGAAACTGTTGAAAAAGATGTCTATGTATAAAATTATTATTATACCGCGAGATCAGTTACATACTATCGATAATTTAAAGTGAGCAAATTCTATTTCTGCTATTTTTCGTGCGACATATTTTTCTTTAAATAATATTTCAACATGTAAAGCATAAAAATAACTGTCTTGCATATTTTCTTTTAGTTTCTCTCAAGCATTTGTTAGAGTGACGATAGAGAAATCAGATGAATTGTACCACATCAGTGCTGTGGTCGGATGGATATATTTTGTGGCATGGAGCGTGAGCTTCTATCCACAAATCCGTATTAATTACAAACGTAAAAGTGTCGTGGGTCTTAATTTCGATTTCCTGTCACTGAATCTAGTCGGTTTTATCATGTACGCGTTGTTTAATTGTGGCCTCTACTGGGTACCTGAGATTGAGGTAAGCTATTGTCGTGGTTGTTTCTATATTTTGCAATGAAATAAAAGCTACGTATGCACAGAGAGAGAACACTAACTGTGAAATAGTTTTATAGATAAAAATTCTCTGATAAGAATGTAAAGTGCGCAAAAATGCACACGCGTGTGTATCGCATGTGTATGTGTATGTGATAATCAATTAATTTACTAACATATTTGCAGAATCAGTATTTCGATCGATATCCAAAAGGTTTGAATCCCGTGCAAATCAATGATATATTTTTCTCGCTACACGCAGTATTTGCTACTGCAGTAACTGTTGGGCAGTGCTTTATTTACGAGGTAAATAAATGTGATCGAGACAGCGTATGTGTTTTCTGGATAGCCGGCTATAGGAATTGAAGTGTAATCGTATTTATTTTTACTTCAGATTGGCAATCAAAGGGTGTCAACGACCGCGCGTATTATCCATGGGATATTCGCGATTTTTATACTGATATCTTTGATATTATCTTTCGTCAAGACAATCCAGTGGCTAGATTTCCTCTACTACTGCAGCTACGTTAAGCTAAGCATAACGCTTATTAAATATGTACCGCAGGCGTTTTACAATTATAAGAGGAAGTCCACTGTCGGCTGGAGTATAGGAAATATATTCTTAGATTTTACCGGCGGCATTCTGTCAATGCTACAGATGATACTCAACGCTTACAACTATGGTAAACATACGAATATACTAGCTAGATTTACCTCCGTCTCGCGTATACTCAGAATACGTACTATCGATATTTAATTCGTGCGGAACATTAACGTCATAAATTTTTATCTCAGACGATTGGGAGAGTATTTTCGGGGATCCGACTAAATTCGGTCTTGGATTCTTTTCCGTGGCATTTGATATATTTTTCATAATACAGCACTATGTCCTGTACAGGTACGTATACATGCATGCTTTAATATTGCTTGCGCTTTGGATCTGATTTTTTTTTGCCGCATGCCACTCTATCGAATAACTTTTTAGGTATTCTGAGCCTGTGCCACTAATAAAATAAAGCTGTAGCATCTTGCGGACTAAAGCTTTTACATTCAATGAATGTGTGGTGATATTTCATGCAGAAACTGGGGATCCTCACTGATCTTTTTTTTATATTTTATTTTTATATTTCATGTTAAAAATAATGCATGATTTTACTAATCGTTAATGTAACAGTTAACTTACTTCGGTATTTCACCACGTTAATTTAGTTATAATTGTACATATATTATAAATAATATACACAACGAGAGAGTACATTAAATATTTTTGTACGAGAATGGGAATATTTACGTGTGATTGGATTTTCATAATCGCATATACATATATAAATATGTGTGTTGCCATTTCGTCTTATCTATTTAGTGAGCTACGCAATTGTAGATGTGACGTAGAGCAAGACTTTGATTTTACAGACATAGCGATGAGAAGGTGATTGACCTGAACGGCAGAATATAGCGACTCTACGACGAGGACTTAATTTCTCCCTCCCTCAAAAAAATCCTTTCCCGTTCCATACTTTATATAGATGTTTTTATATTCGCATAAATCTCTGCATGTGTATATATTGTGTATCTGCGCACAATATAAATATTTTTTACTTTTATAATTTTCATTAATTAACTTCATCAGTTAAATCTATTTCTTAATTTTATTTAATTTTAAGTCAAAACGTATATGAATTGATATTATAACTACGACTGTTCGTATTTTCTCTAAAACATTATTTTTTATATTTCCGGCTAGGTTATTTAAATTAAGAAGATAGTACAAACTATTAACGTAGGACCACAATGAATAATTCCAATACGAATTAAAAAAAAAGAGAGGAATAATGCAATCTCACGGGAAGTTTGCACAAATAAATTACACGTTTGACAGTATTGCCAAGTTAATTATAGATGATAAACAGTATTTAGCAGTTTATGATGTAAAATAAAAGCACTATATTAGAGAAAGGATGGTATATAGGCGGAATATTTTTTAATGTAGCAAAATTTCTGTTGACCAATCAGACAACGATTATATTAACGTTGTTACAATAAAAATATTTTACGGAGTCGGTATTTATCTCGATATACGAAGCTTCATTTTCATTATATTTTCACGGTTTACCATTCTATTCATTACGCATCGGATTGAATCCCCACCCGAGATAATTACAGATGGTATTTCATTTAAATATTAATGTACCAGTATAATGCGTTAAATATTCTTTGATTTTGCGGAGTAAAAGAATCACGGTTTGATCACGCATGAGGCATGTCCCGTGTTGACGCTTATCTTCGTTATATTGTTATCCCGTGCATCAGATTCAATTGTCGCGCGAGTTTCGCCGATTGCCCGAATTGGTGGAAAGACGATTTCCGGCATAACTTGGGAGACTAAATCGTCCCGAATGGATTTGGATGCCAAAATATACAGATTTTGTGTGTGTCGTCTCGTGTCGAGTGCGCGTGATTTTGTTCCCGCATTAACCCGGGAATAGACGTCCACCTATATTTTTTTTTTCTTCCTCGTCTCGAATCGATGAACGACGCGCATAAAAATAGCAATCCGCAAGGCTCATCGTTATTTCTTACGTAACGTTCGTTGTTCCCGAGATGCAGCAAAACAAATCGATGGAAAAGTTTCGCGACGCGAGCTCCCGTCGCGAAATTGATCCTCGGAGATTTTTGAGGAACGAAAGGGGGATTAAAACTCGCCATTTAATCTCACGCTTTATTTGATACGCGCGATAATTATTTGCGTCGAATGATCGATTATGTATGCGGAGCTGTATAATGACAAAATAAAAAGCGCAACCAATGCTCACCGAAAAACTCTCCCCCCCCCTTCCTTTTAATCCCGTGTACGCCAGAAAAGTCGGCCATTTTCCCGGACAGCACCATGTTCAAAATTGAGACATATAAGACGTCTCTTTGGACTTTGGACACGCGTGCCGTCCGGATTGATTCCCGGGTCAATCTAACTCGCTAACTCGACTAACTCTTAACTAACCGGCCCTTATAAAGACGATATCCGGCGAGAGACTCGACGTTAAGGGCGATTCGTCGATCTCCGCTCGGAAGAAAAAAGAAAAAAGAAAAAAAAAAGAGAATGTGTCGTAATTCCTTTCCTTTCAGGAATCGCGCGGAGTACGCCGAGCTGCCGGGCCATTGCCAGGAGGAGCCCGAGGGCGCGTGCAGCGCATGAAAACGCGTGTCGCTTGTCGCATCGCAATACCGTCCCCCCGTCCGAGCGCATAATAAGAGCGACGCGCCGAATGCGCGTCGCCATCACGCGCCCTTCCCCCGTCGCCCGTTCGCGCGCGACACGAACACGAAGATCAATTATTGCTTACCCCGTGCCGCGTCTCCCGGTGCTCGGGTCACCGCCACCGCCGGCGTCGTCACTCATCCCCTCACCGCCTTGTGGAGACGCACGATCACCAAGCTGCACCGGTCGATCCTCCTCCTCGTAGGACGACGAGTCGCACGCAAAAAGCACGCACCGCCCGCGCGCGTCCGCCGCACCGCTCCGTGTCTCCGTGAGAAGAAGAGAGACGCGTGAAGTGCGCGGCGATTGCCGCGCATTTCTTGAATTTACAATTTCGATAATCGCAATTCGATTGCATCCCCCGCCAGCGCGCGCGGCCGCCGCCGTCGCCGATTCGTCGCGCGGAAGCGACACCACGTGACCGTCCCGATCGTCCGGCTGCGCAGAGCTTCGAGTCGTTGCGTCAAGTCGCTCGTCACGTCGATCGCCACGGCAGGTAAGCTCTCTTTCGATCGTCCCCGCGAGATTTTTCTCGCTATATTACGAGCGTGGACACGGTGTTTCAATGTGGTGACATAATCTTGAGCGATCGAATAAATAACGCGTCGTGTTGCGCTCGATATTGCCTCGGAGCAACGGGCAACATAACCTAAAAAGCGTGATACTCTTATTAGTCTACAAAAGGTTAGAAGGATTGGAAAAGTGCTGTAAAACGAAGATGAGAAGAGCAGTTGATAGTAGATTTGTGTCAAAAAACTGAAATTTCCGATTGGAGACACGACGATAAACTCGGGCTCATCCTGAACCTGTGAAAAAAAAATATGCTCGTGAGATATCTAAGAAAAAAATATATCTTTTTGCTTGTATCGCTTGTATTATCGTAAATGAGAAGATTATATTCGATGAGAGTGCTCTTTAAAGTTATCATTTATAGCTGGGACCGGGTTATCTCTCGTGTTTTGAAATCGTTTTAATTGGAGTAAAATTATGCTTGTGGGTGATCTCGATGAAACTCCGATCAACTTAATCAGTAATTAATTTAATTGGTAGAACCATACTTCTAGCTACGTGATTTGTGGTCCAGATCTTTCGTTTCCATGCATTAAGCAACGAGAAATTGTTCTATCTGCGGTGACAAAGTATAGTACAGGTATTGTTTAATGAGATAATTGCTGATTAAGTTGATCGGCGTTTGGTCGGAGTTACTTCTTGCAAGTATACAAGACATATTTATACTCTGTAATATTAATGACCTTTTAAGCTACAGAGACATTTTACTTATTTCAGAATGATCGCTTTGCTCGCACGAATTGGCAACTCCGCGACTGGTCTGCGCAGCAGAAATCTCAATTGCTGGACGGCGGCGATTACGAGGAAGCACAGAGCGGTATACGAACGGACGTATCCTACGACGCTCGTCTTTTCCGACGGTAGCAGTATAGAGATCCAGTATCATGAACCGCGGAAGATAATAGTCTTACCGTTGAATCTCGCCGAACTTACGGAGGCGGAACAGAAAAAGAGACTCGAGATGCGTAAGCCGAAAACGAAAGTAGTTCTAGCCGAAGAAATTGAGGATAGCTTCGATGAGAATAGATATCTCAATTTTAACAAGTGATTGCCTCGGCGTTTCTGAAATCTGTATTATATATATGTTATATTTGTGCAAAAATATATGTTAATAACTCTTTGAGACTCTAACGTAGAAGGTTATTTTATTTTTTGTTTAGTATAATGTTTTAATAGTTGTGTTCGTTTTTTTTTCTGTAGTATAAAATATAAATAAATGTAAATATTATTACTATAAACTTTTGTGATACATATGTCAAAACGTAGTGGTAGGAAATGAATCTAATTATAGATTTTTACAATTATTGAACAATACTGTGAGTTGTATGATAAAATATTAAATACCACATATGAATATTGCGCACTAACATAAGCATTGTCCTGTGAACATAGAATAATTTCCAATCTTTATAACACAAAAAATATATTTCTATACAGCGCACAAAGATAATGCAAATTCCTTCTTCACTCCATCTCTTGTTCCATTCTTCTGTCTCGCTCTCGATTGCTTTTGATTGAAATTCCATAAATTAATACATTTTACGATATAAAGATAATTATGCGCGCGTGAATCGAGTACAATAAATCCTTGGTTTTTGTCGGAAACGACCTTGAACTTGTAAAAGAAAGTAGACTGTACGCCACGGAAATCGAATCGATTACAGTCCTCGCGTCCGCTTTCGAATAATATTCCTTTCTCAATGGGCAATAATCGTTTGGGTAAACTCGTTTTCACATCCGGATGCGTAGCCGGGTGAGGTGAAATTCCTCGGCAACGCGTGACGGTCGTGAACGAATTGTAACACGCACCTTTCCTCGGGTGAAGCAGAATTTCGTCGCCTCGCGTTTTGTTTATATTTTTACAGTTGTTTCGGTTTGTTTTACAGCTACGCCAGATAATTGAACGTCTTTTTTTCAATTTGTACTATTTGTATCACGAGCGTGACATTCTACGGGGACTCGGGAGGGAGGGAGGGGGAGTCGCGATTCGCGATTTTTGATTACCGGTCATTAACGAAGGAACATGATTTTTTTTGCGCAAGTAGCGCACGTGCGCTATCATTTCTGCGGTATGTCGCGTGACGAGAGGGGCCCGTTGCGACCGACGTCGTTTGTTTTAGAACGATTTCCACCGCGCGACGACTTTCTCCGATTCTCGCCTTCGCACTCCGACACGCACTTTTCGTCGTCCTCACGCTAACCGTAAATAATTACCGGACGAAACGGCGGATGAACTTTCAACGACGTGCAGGGACTGAAAGTCCTCGTCGTCGTGGCGGTGGAGACGCGGGCAAGCGAAAGTGATGGATTAGTGCGGGCCATTATGATCGATGATTAAAAACACCTTTGCCTCGGGAAAGGCGGATGTAGCACTGTATAGTAGTGCTGCAAATTTGTCATTATTTTTTCGACTGTCAGACAATCCCCGATATAAAAATGTCTCTCTATAAGAATTTTTCATACCGTTAATCAGAATTTCTGTAAAAATTTCCAGATTTTCTTAGAATGCTCATAATTTTTTAGATTTTTTATATAAATTGGAACGTTTTTTTTTTTTTTTTTCAAAAAAACTCAGACAAAATAAAAATAAAATATTCAGATTTTTCCCGTCAACATATCTTTGAAATGTGAATAAATATGAGAAGATCTATGCAATTTATCAGAAATTTTCATACGAATACTGAAATATTCCAAAAATCCTCATCCAATTATTTCTGAAAGTATCTGAGAAATGTTGTATATTTTTTCAGAATTTTTCATAAGTCCCAACTCTTACAAAATTTCTGAGAAAATATGAAAAATTTTTTTCACCAGGGAGGTCTACATGAAGCTCAATCATAGATAGTAATGTGCTACATTTAAGCAATAAGAATATTCGTGGAAACGCCGATTATTGATATCTTGAGAAATGCGATTGTTTCCAACTGTGTACTTGCGAAAGATTACTTCTATTAGATTTCGCAGAGCGTTTTGACCGGACTATTCGTTCTCGGCATACCGTATTATTTCGGTGAACCAAGGAAGCGTGATCTAATGTGTCGGCACATCGATCCGGGCACAATTATGGCGAGCACTTTCGGTCACGGTGAAATCATCGTTGCGACAGAAGCGAGAAAATTTGTTATTAAGCAACAATAGGATACACACGTCGTTTGTAAAAGGCGCTGAAACGCGTTCAGCATACGATATAGCATCGTCGATACGATTCGGCCGGGTGTCCCATTACAACGGATGTTAATTAAATATGTTCGCTGCACGGTGGGATCGATTAGCAGTTGGCGACGTCGCGGAAAGTCGAGCAGGTCGTTATCATCCTTTACTGATAATAATCCAGGTATCGCACCCCAGTGTGGCAAGTAAGAGTTAAACTTGAAATAACAACAATGTGACCTTCGATAATTTTCATAATAACTACCCTGTAATTATAAGTAATGATTTAGACAGAAAATGCCACGTGCGTCTATCTTTTAGCTCGGTTGACAACAGTTCAACAGTTGCCAACTTTTCCATCAATTTCGAAATATGTAATACTAAAAAAGAGTTTTCTTATTAGAATCGAATTGTAATAATAAAACGTAATACAGTAATAATGAAGATTTGTGCTACAGTTATTATATAAAGTTGATAGAAGTTTATAAGATTTTTATTTGATGTTTCAATAAAAAATTTCAATTATTACGTTTTTATTACTAAACATATGTACTATATAAATGTCTCTGAGAGATATTTATAAAATATTAAGCGTACTAAAATAAATGCTATACGATGTATGATTATCAAAAAAAACTAGTTTAAGTAGTTCAAGGTGAAGCTACAAAGAAGGATGCGGAACGTTTATATACTTTATATTACTGTAGCATATAAATTATTACTCACCTTTTGCACAATTACCTGCTGCTTATCTTGACATATCAAATGTCAGCGATTAAATTGTAACGTATGTTTTGTTCTCTATATGTATACGTAATGTTTTATATCTTGTCCATGGAATTTTTTATGCGCTGTAAACACAAAAATAAGGTTTTAAAGTTTTCCATGGTTAATCTTGTACATGTATAATGTAACTTTATTATATCTATCTTCGTATACTTGTAATGCGTGTCTACAATTATATATTAATTAAACTCTTATCATCAACTTTCTAATAGTTGCATTGAAAACAAATCAAGATGAAGAAATGTATAATGAATCTCGATACGGCGAACTTCCTGATTATTTTTCCATTCATTTAGTTTAATATCTAATTTCCTAATCTGATTTCCGCAATTTAATTATTCCTATCAGAGTTATCAAATACCGACTGTTCAAGTCTTGCATTGCAACCAGTCGTAAATTTCTCTAAGCAAGATGTTTTCTAATAATATCTTCAATAATAAAGGAATTATATTTTTTATAAACTAAAAATATATTTTAAGATTACATTTAAGTTTTTAATTCTTTTTGAAGCTTTACATCTATTTGTAATAATTCTTGTTATATTACTTTTCCAAGTTATAGTAAAACATGGGTTTAAAGTACATTATACGATTTCAGTATATCAATGTATAGATAACGCATATCAATTTATTTGTTATGTGTTAAACTTCTCAATTTGATGATATTTTGGATCTCAAAAAGAAACAAAATTTTAATTTAAAAAACATTATTTTGAGTTGTATTTAATACCTAATCAAATTTTATTTTATTGTACATAATATACGTTTTATTTAATTTATCGACTACGTTTTTACTATACTTTACAATATTAAAGACCTTTATGTGATTTATGACTAGTTTTGAATATATTATTAACCATGTTACGTTAAGACCCACATGCGTTACCAATACGTCAGACTCCATGGCCCGTTATACGTTTTACTCTTTGAATTTTATTGCATTATTTTCTTAACTCCCGAAGAACCCTCTTTCCAGTCCTGTAAATACGGTTCCCCGGTGTCGTCTTCGTGAGGCAGTGGAGAGCTCGTGGAGTGAAGGAACCGGTCGTCGTCGCTTTTAAACACCGTTCGTTGCTCGTGACAGGTAAAGAGACGGCGTAACGCCACGGTGGGAGTCAGTTCTGTTATAGTAGGCCACGAGGCAGCAGCAACTCTCGTGCTCCTGCAGGCCTCGCTCGCGTACACAGCGCACGTCGGCTTCGCTCTCTCCTCGTATCAGCGCGCGCGAGTATCATCATACCATTTAAAAAAAAAAAGAAAAATCACGTCGCGAGCCATACCGAGATTAATTCGAGAGATTAATTTCAGACGAACATTGTCGTGTTGGTGAATTTATTAAGGGGGAAAAAAAAGAGGAAGAATAGCTGGAGACTCATCGACTCGTTGACTTTTGTCGCGCGTTTCGAGACTGAGGAACTGGAGAAACGCGAAATCCGCTTCCTCGAATGCAGTGATCGTGCATTCGTCGCGCGGACATGTCAGAACAACGTCAGTAACGACAAGCGAACTTGCGCAAGAAGCGAATTCGGAGCCCGATTTCTTTCACGGCGGAGAAAGCAGACGGCTGATCGAGTCGGACAAGTATAAACCGCGATGTAGCGGCCGTTTCCTGCCTCTATATATCTCAACCCGCTCCGGCCCCAAGAAAATAAACACGCGATGAAGAAATCGCTCGCGTTTTACGATTTAATCTTCTTGCATTAATTGCAACGACCTAGAACTATCACCTAAAAACTATCGCTCTTCGATCCGAGTTCCCGTCGATGGCGATTTCTTTAATGTCACTGAACTAGAAAAGGCTGAACAAGCGATCCGGCCTTGCAGGAATAATTGTCCGGATCGAAGAAGAAAACATCGATCCTTCTTTCAATACATAGAAACTCTTCTTGCCGGCTTTATCGCCAAGTTAAAACAACAGGATGCAAACTTGACATTTACATGTCTTCCTGATGCGATTTACCGTGGAACGATGGGTTTCTAACCATCCACAATGATGGTGGACTTTTAAAGAGGTTTTCCGGGATTGTCCAGAGACGTGAGATGATTGGCAAACTTGTTCTGGCTCTTTGGATATTACGATGGACCAGTTTTATCGGTAAGCAGTATTTTAATAATTTCAGACAAGTAATACGATAACATTAAAAATAATGTAAATAAATTTTACCATTATTAAAATTAAAAGATTATTAAATTGCAATAATATTTGCAACTAAAAGGACAAATATGTATAATGGACGGAGTTTCAATTTAATGATAAATTTAAAAAAAGGTCTCTTTTATGTATAATTTTGCGGTTATTTCTTTTGAACGGTCTCTACATAATGTTTTTTAAATGTCTTTTTTTACGACACAAATATCTATATGCTACATCGTTTAAATATGCATACGTTCGCGACCCGAATTTATCTCTTGGAAATACCGGTGTTAATCCTTAACATGTGTGTCACAGAAGTATTACTAAACATCGGCACTTCATTAAAAATTCTATGTTGGTAAATCCAGCGAGATTTAATAAGTCATTCGATTAACATCTGTTGGCTGATGCTATTGGCTGTTGCCAATAAAATTAATTAATTTTCTTCCCTGATCTGCATGCAACTCTAAAGGAATCTCATGACGAGAAATTACTTGGTTAACAAAAATTTCTGCCGATGTATTAACTCTAATATTCTTTAATGGGAAAGTTTTCACAACATTTAGTGAAATAGTCAACGAAGACTAATAGTTAACAATTTCCGGAAGAACAAGTAGGAACAGACGTCCTCTATAAAAGATGAGAATCACCTAATTTAAGGTCGAATATTCTGCAGATTATAGGTATATACCGATTCCCGGTAGTCGAATGGAATTAATTAATTTTAAATAAATGCGCTACTTATATTATACACTATTCTTCTATCTTCTCTTTCCCTTAGCTTTCCTGTATTAATTACTAAGGATAATAGCTTACATAACGTAATTGTTTAACTTGGGAGAAAGACGATTACCCATAAGTTGGACTACTTCGATCGAACCTCACCGTTGGTTCTTGCCATTGTTCTCCGATAGTGCATTCTTGGCATCCTCCGTTGTTGCAACAAATTAGTTAACATGATTACTTAACCGTGTTAAACCGGTACGTTGAGGTCAGCGGTGCGACATGTTTTTTAAACGTATTTTCCAGACGACGCACGGGCTGACCACCGGCGTCCGTTTTCACTTAGGCACTTCGCACGAGAGCGGGCCGAGGAAACGAAGCGCTCGAATGTATTTGCGCAAGAATTTGCATCTGAATAGGCAGTTTCGAATTTATGCGGAATACGTCGGGAATACATTTCGCAATATTTGTTGACATTTTTTTTACGTGTACGTACGTTCGAGTATATCAGGTGCAGTTAACCCTAGCTCTGGTCTAATGGACCGTTGACCGTTTTTTCGGTTCTCTAGTTTTCACATAATAACATAATTTTCTAATTTTCTTATAATAGGTTCAGTTTAAATTCAAATCATTTTCTTGACCTGATATTATCATAAACATCTTATTCAGAGTCTGTATTTCCAACTTCTACACCACAAGCTTAAAAATATTAATTAGAATGAAAATGACAATGCGACAAAGTAGAGCGGTATCACAAATCGTATAGTGTAGCGAATTAAGGACTGGAAAATGTGGATAGCAAGGTTAACATCAATTTGCGCTTAGGAACATTACCGCACAACGTCCTTGTCTTAATTTTCCTTATGATTTCAAGGGCAATTTTGTTATCACAATCGGAAAAAAGACTTTAAACGCACTTTAAACGCACGCTCGGTTAAGCGCAAAACAACGTTTATCTAATCTTATACAAGATGTTTTCTAAGTAAGTAAAAAAAAAGGTCCTATAAACATATGCTTTAAACTTCTTCGTTCTTAAAATACAGGGTGTCAAAGTTGTAAAAAAAAAAAATGTCCAAAATTTGGAAAACATATAAAGATATTTTATTCTTTAGTATTAAGAACTAATTTCCAGTACTGATAAAACATTTTGAGATCTATCAGGGGCGTGTGTACGGGTAATTTTGTATTTTGAAAACAAAGCAGTTTAGAGCAAATGTTTACAGAACCTTTTCTTCCTAAAATAAGCCACGAAATATCCTCTTCATTTTTTCGTACTTACTTAGGAAACACTCTGTATATGAAGACAAGAAAAAGAAGCGAAATATTAAGTACAAGAAAGACGAAAGAGTCCAAAAAAGATGAGCGCAAAATATTACAACATGCTTCTCTAGAGCCATTAAAGAAATAATAAATACAAAAAGGGCGAAAGTTCAAAAAAAGGGTGAGCGTAAAATGTTACATGCTTCTCAAGGAAAAGACTTTCCTTCGCGCTGCCATTTGCTTTGTAAAATTACTCCGTGCTCTTTAGGGTCATTGAAAAAATCGACGGTAGAGAGATTTCAGGCATAATGACACGGGTGCAAGTTTCACGGACACGTTGCCGCAAGAAGCGGCTTCGGAAAGGTTACACCGACACAGCAGTGAAAGCGACGTTTGCCGCGTACTGATATTACATGCATGCACGTGAGAGACGTCAGGGATTAATGCAATGATCTCGGATGGGGTCTCGCGCAATGACGCGACGAACATCCGCACGAGCGCGCGACCAAATTTCCGTCTTCGCCGCGCCGGGCGCGGGATTGCGTCTTTCAATTTATTTTGAAATTGATTTTAAATCTCGCGGAAAACACACCGCAGTAAGCTGGTTAATCGATGATGAATACGGTATTATTCGTAACTCGATAATACCATTATACACCAAAATTATTCAGAAAGTTAAATGAAACTAATTACGCGCCGTCGAACGTAACATACAATTTCAGTGAGACGTAACAAAGAAATTTGAAAGCTCTGCAGACATTTCCTCGAGGTCTAATAAAAATTCGTATCTCTCTCTCTCCATTTCGACGTGAAAGTTGAGTCTAATCTTCACGTTTCTATCGTGCCAACGTGAACTGAAAATTCAAGTACCGTAATTCTTGGTTACGACTCTTAAATGAATTGTTCCTTTCTGATTGAGGAAACAACCGGAAATTCAACGCGCGATATTTTCGCGGTCTCCGTGAAAGCGTTTGTACGGTCGTGCCCGTGAAACTGCGGCCGATTACTTTCATCGGTTATGTATATCCTCGGCGAGATAATTTTAATCAAATTCTATCGTGTAGCCATTTGCGTTCGTAAAAGCGCAATAAAAGACAGAAAAGAAACAGGAACTGTCCTTAACGGGTCCAAGCTCTCGGCTCGCGACGCGAAGAAAGCCGGAGCCTCGTTATAATTCTCGCAATACGTGACATTTCAATTACACTAAAAACATTGAAATTACCGCAAAACATGGTTTTTAATTAGCAACACTCTCTCTCCACCGTTATTTATTCTGATATTTTTCCTCGTGTGATTTATTTAAAACGAATTCAAGTAGTATATTAAATCACTGCGGCTTCGTTAATTGGCCGCTAGATTTTATGTCCTTTAAAATAATAAATACGGATCTTTTGCATATATTCATTTATTATTCATAATCGGACTTTATTGACTCACGAATAATATTTGAAGATCGAATTCCTCTATATGAATCATCAATATGTCGACCATCATCGCGAGTCATCGCGGACTTAACCCTTTTTTTTTTGCAGAGTGCATAGCTCAGAATCACCTTTCTCCAAGCAATTAATTTCTCTCTGTAACGCGAGAGAGGAGCATAGAGACGAGCGGCACGCACGAGAGATCGTATCTCTTCGGAGTCGGAGAGCATCGTTTATTTTCAATTAGGTCGAGTCACTTCTACCCGATAGATGATCGCCAATCAGCACGTCGGTTAAGATAATGTCTGAAGCGAAAAATACCTTTGTACGTTCGATCGCCAATCGGTAATTATTGTTATTAATGCGGCATTCGATATAAATACCGCTATATTAATACCGATACATTAATATGGAATAACTAAACGATGTGATAAACGTGATTCTTAGATCGACGCAGATATTGTAATCAATTATGCTCGATTATTAGCCTCGCAAATAGAAATACGAATCTATTAACGGCGGGACTCACATACCACTGTGTGCGACGTAAATTCAAAATAAGAACTGTTTCACGGGATCGAGAGAGAAAGTTTTCCAAAAGCATCGGCTGTTTCCAACTGGGCCATAACGGTCATTGTGCTCGCAATGAATAAGTAAATCGAAATAGCTTTCGAGTGACAGAATAAAGGAGTTGGTCGATGTCTGTTCCCACCTATTTGTCGGCAGGATCAATTTCGCGAATTAAAATCCACGCTTTCAAACGATGAAATATTTTGCAAAATGATAAAAATATCAAACGCATTTATGTTACGCGCGATATCGAGGCTAATGGCCGCATCGTACTTAATTTTGTTCTCTTTTGCACGTTGAAGAAACGATACTTTATAACCAATCTCCTTCAAATTTGGGTCGGCGTTCCACTTTAATCCACCCACGAGGTCTTGTGGAACGTCGAAGTTGATGAAGAGACGAAGCGACCGATCGGAACGAGACGCGTCGGTGTCGCAACGACGACGACGGTTCGGCGGGCCCCATCGTGCCCAAAAATACGCAATTTATCTTCCCAGAATCATCATCGATGGTCATTAACCCTTCGGTACCCCCGTGATTTAAGAGTGAAAGGAACGAAGTTGGGGCCCCATACACAACAAAGACTGTTGCGCAAACTTGTTGGCGCGACGTATGTAATGCACTTCAAAGTGGCACGACGTGCATGCGCTAGAAAAATTTTGTGCAACGGTAGCTTGCGCAAGTTGTTATGTAAGAGTAAAGATACTTGTGGGGAAAACTTAATTTAATTTCTGTAAAATAGATGGTAATATATAACAAAATGTAATTACGAAGACTTCGCGTTTGGTAATCGCGCAGAGAGAACATCCTTCTCTCTTCCTTTCTCCCTCTCTCTTCGTTTCACACGTTGCCTCAGTTTATTAATCGCTCTAAGGTTCAATAAATGTTGCCCAAGTTTCATAAAAAAAAAGCGCGTCTTTAGAAAAATTATGGGGCGCAGAGCGCGGCGCGTAACAGTCGGAAGGAGAAGAGTGTTGATTATCATAT